TTTTTTGTTTTTTGTTTTGTTGCTACTAGTGTCACTGTCACTCGTGCTGCGACACTGATAAATGACGTGTACAACTGGCATGACATGCAAGTGTCTAACACATTGTTGCACACTTTTAAGTGTTTGACTGGATATTTGAATTACTAGAAAATGCTGAACAGTTAAAAAGCTGAACACTTGTAATTGTCCGACTTCATAGGGTTGGTCAGCTTTGGAAACTTTAAAGTGTTCAAATGTTGGACACTTAAGTATTTACATGACCAAGCCCACACCTAAGAGTATATTTGTACTATACAGAGTTGAACACTACCATGTGCATGCCAGTAGGGACACACTTTTGTTTGCAAGTTTGTTTATTTGAATGGCCGCCTATGTCGTCTGCAATCAGCCAATAAGGATCGGGCCCATCCTCCACGCTCGGTCGCGTCCCGGGCCCCGCGCGCCGCATCTGAACCATAACATGCATCGGCATCGTATTGCATAAAATATTCCGCACGATCTGGAAAACAAGTCAAAACGAAGCAACACGACGCTACTAATTCCGTCCGATTGTGATCGCGTGGTGACACCGCCGTCGTGGGGTAACAATCTGGCGGTGGAGCATGACCAAGGTATGGGCTGCACCGCGTGGTCTTTGCAATCATTTCGCATATCTGCCAAAGATTCTGTATTTATTTATTCTATAAATCTCGCCTTGCTCGACGAGGGGGACCCTCACTCGGGCAATCTGGTGTTGTACCGTACACTGTACACCCCGGCAATCTGCGATAATCTTCGGGAATCTCGAGGCAATCAAATTCAAAAGCCATCACTAAAAACTGAGTGGCGTCTTTTGACGCTAGAATTTGGCGTTGGCTTAGGTAACACCAAATTTTGGCTTCTTTTTGCATAAGACGCCAGATTTTTGCGTCTTTGGGCGTTAATATCTTGGCGTCGAAAGGCGCCAGCCAATTTGCATTTGCAGTGATGCTTTTTGTCTACATGTAGGGTGGAAGAAGTTCGTTTTGCCTAGTTACCGGCGTTTTATGTCCAAAAATCAAAATAATCGTCCAGCAATCTGGTAATCTTGTCGTTGGTGTACCCGCTAAAAAGAGTTTGAGGCCCATCCCTATCTTTTGCTTCGCAGTGCGATGTTTGTTCAAGCACTAGGAGGGTAGTGCTTGCATCAAAACATACAAACTTTCGCAGGAGGGGGCGAAAAGCAGGGACACGAAAGGGGATAGTAGACATTACAAGTTGTAAGGCTCGAATCTGGTATTTAATAACTATTCTTCAAAAGTTTTAAAAAAAGGCAACGACACGCGAGTCCTGCAGGACAACAATCAAGGTGCAGTAACTACTCGTAACTACCGCGCGCGCGCAGCTGAAGGTAAACTGCTGCTTCGCTGGCTTATGTCACACAGAGAGAGACGTCCTCAGCGCCATTAAGGGGAGGACAGCGAAATACGAAATGATAATTAAACGCAGAAACTGGCAATTACGAGCGTCCCACCCTAACAAGGCTACCGAGGCGACGGCGCGCAGCCGCGGTGTCGGACACGGCCCAGTGTGACATTTGAAGCACTGGTAAAATAATCATCACTAATAAAAAGTTGTGAATTTGTGGCGAATAATGTTTGAACATAGCAACGTAAACTGAAAAGTTTCCCCGCAATGCTAGCACTACAGGGAACGTTTTACGAGCAGTATAAGGTGTGAACATTTGCCAGTCACTAGCGTGTCTCTCTCTTTCTCTCTCTCTCTCTCTCTCTCTCTCTCTCTCTTGTGCGTGAGCCGCTACGTAAACGACTTGGCGATCGTTCAATCGCCTCGCACTTTCTTCCGGATGGCAAACCTAAGTACTGCCATATAGTAGCCTTGTGTTCGTCACCCCCACTCTCTCTGCGTTGGTTCGAGCGCTATCCAGAACCTAAATGGATATTTCGGATCCCATTATCGGGGCTTATCGTCGCTGTCAGACTAAAGCTTCCGCGGTCAACCTGATCCCATCTGTTGGCGCCTCCGCCTCCGATCAGAGTACGGTTCCTCTTCTGCCGAACCAAAAGTGAAATAATACAAGAGTATGCATATAAACGGTGTTTTGGATTTAAAAGAAAATCTTAAATTAGTTATTTGAATCTGCTCAAGACTTTGGACGCTCTTTGCATGCGCATGCCAACATGGGTAATCATTTTATCGGGCGCGTTTACATAGTCTTGCTGTTGAGAGTCCACTGCTCTAGTAGTAGAGAAAGCTGTTCGAAGATGTACTGCATAACACACGCAGGTACACACACACACACATCGCATTGGTTCTGTTTCCGCTCTCCGCCGTGTGTTGAGAGGGTAGGGAGGGAGGGAGGGGGAGCGCATCCCCCACAGGCATTTCATCGTGTACACGCATTGGCGCGGGGCGGGCAACACATGCAGACTAGCACACACACACACACACACACACACACACACACACACACACACACACACACACCGGCGCGCGCACGCACAAACACACACAACACGCGCAGGTGCCTCGGGAGAAGAGGGCGATATCTTTTGCGCAGAATGCACGAGGCAGGTCGGGGCGCTGGGGCAGCCCTATCGAAATGGACAATCTTACCAATAAAAGCACTGGTGTGAGACGTACCACCAATCTGTATGTGTGTGTGTGACAAACGGGCGAGCGTGTAAATGCTGCTAAGTGCCTTTACGGAACACGCTTTTAATTTATGATCGCAAAAAAGGCCATTTTGATACAAATCGCATGAAAGTAACTCGCACCGCATACTTGCCCATGATTAAATAACGATGATTTACTTACTCAAAACAAGGGTGATCCGCGCCGTGGTTTTTTTCTGCTTATTCGTACCGCATTCATGCGCGCGGACGGGTTGCATACTCGCACGGGGCCGCAAGGCGCCATGGCGAGCGACGATAGGCAAGCCCGCCGCCCGCACGCATGAATCCGGTACAGAATAAGCAGAAAAAAACCACGGCGCGGATCATCCACCCTGTATGTCCACGGTGAAAAATACTCGTAAGGGTTACGGGGAAATTTTCAATGATAAAAGTCGTTAAATTACAATTTGAAATTGTTAATTTACAAGCACTCCCTATCGACTAAAATTGACCGACGAGCAAGGATGGGCTGTCTTAAATTTACGACATATTTTGTAAATTAAAATTACAACAAATGTCTTAAATTTACGAGGATATTTTTCGCAGTGTCGTCACGTCACAATGATGCCAGTCTAATGGATTGCCTCTCCTTTTCTGTTTCAGGTGACGAAACGAGACTCTCTACACTTGGACTGCACTGCGAGTCCATCGCTCACTGCGGTAACGACGCGGGGGCGCCACGCATGCTGCTGCAGCAGCTCATGAGCAGCGCCGGGCTTACATTGTAACGAATCCATTGTGTTGCGCCGCTTAGCAGCGCGATAAACCAGCATTTGTGCCCCCATATGATGCTCTTTACAGCACCTCAAGGTCTTCCCTACACTGCACTCTCAGACCTGTACTGATTTATTTATAAAGGTTTTTATGCAGCAGGATGGCTGACTAATTTGTTACCCATTCTGTATTTTACTGACGAAAACAGTTGTCAGTAGCTTATGAAGGTTTTTATGCAGCAGAAACACTGACAAGGCGAGAAAAAAAATCAGTAACAGGATGGGAGTGTAGAAACGGAAGCGTGTGAATATGTCGCACACTTATAGGTGTGTGTACAACACTCGCACACATGGAGGCACAAAGTGTGTGGATTCCGGAAGGAAAACTTCGGAAAATGCACACCAATGCCCCCTCACGGGTACGAATTGGCATTCGCACACACCTACAAGTGTGCGACTTTCGCACATTTGCGTTTCCAGTGTGTACTCAAAATTATTTTGTTTTAAGTTTTTCATTAAACCTTAAAATAGAAGGAAAGGACTAACTTTTTTTTTTTAAATGACGTTCTAAGGGAAGACAAAAATGTGTGTTTAAATCTGGGCTGGGGCCACGACGACACGGCTGGCTAACGCGGGCCGCCGACACGGGCCGACACGGCGCCGTGGCGCGACTAACGACCGAAAATGGAGCAGAGACCTTGTCCCGGGCCTTGTCCAGGAGCACGACTCCAGCTCCAGCCGGAGCCGGCCGGAGCCCCCAGGCCGGCAGATTGATCGAAGGCTCCCGGAGGCTGCTCACTGCTCGGGGCTCGGCTCCGACGGCGTAGGTTTGCCGCGGAGAGACGTGTGGGTGCACTTTGTCCAGACGGGACTCTCTCTCTCTCTCTCTCTCTCTCTCTCTCTCTCTCTCTCTCTCTCTCTCTCCTCCAGCCGACGGCTCCTGGCTAGGCCATGCAGGCTCTGGCTCCAGGACGGCCGACCCGCGGGAGCAAGGCTAGCGCGCCTGGGTGGGCAGCTGGCTGATTGAGTGCTCCAGTGAAAAACTACCGAAGCTCCTGGAGAACAACAACGCTCCCAGAGCCCCGCACCATGCGACCTCAGTGAGGAGCGAAAGGATTGTACGCTATCCTGGAGAAACCAACTGATTTTCCTTGACAACCCAATGTAGTCTCCTGGAGAAACTGTTAGCTTCTCTCCAGAACGAGTGGAGCCCCTTGCTTCGAGTTTAATCCTGGTTCCTTGGGGAAGCTCGAGGGGAAGCTCCTGCTGGAAGTCGTGTGGATTCTTCAGGAGAGCCGCTGGAGCCTCGCTGGAGTGTCGCCGCGCCGCGCCTCCCCCGTGCAGCGCTACTTCCGCTTTTGGTTCGCGGGGTCATTATATATTGTTACTATTGTAATGAGTGTGAGGGAGACGGTGACAGCGGGGGGCGCCGCCCCGCCCCGCCACGCCACGCCCCGCCCCGCCACGCCACGACCCGCCACGCCGCGCCCCGCCACGCCACGCCCCGCCACGCCGCGCCCCGCCACGCCTGTCGCCCGACCCGCAATCAGCTGGCCGCGTCGCCTCAGTGTCAGTGATGGCGAAAGCAACGTGCGCGCACACAAACACGCACCCACACTCGCGCGCACGTTTACTCACACGCACACACACGCACACACACGCACACACACGCACACACACGCACACACACGCACACACACGCACGCACACACACGCACGCTCGCACGCCGCCCGCCTCCCACGGTGTGTATCAAATAGCCGGTGCTCACCTCACGCGGTGCCAATCACTGCCGCCTGTCGCAGTGGGAACGAGTAAGAGTGATCGAGACTGTCTGCGGCGCACTGTGTCATCATTGCGTTCAATCGCCCTGCCTGCTTGGCGCGGCCTTCAACTTTAAGAAAAAAGAATTTGAAAAAAAGAAAAAGCTCGAGTGGAACGGTTGTGAATTGTGAATCGTATGACAAACTAACTCTAACTTTTACTGTAGTCTGTCGTAAATTTAAGATAGTTTTGTTTTCCCAGGCGAGTAGAAATATGGGCGTCTTACAGTTTTTCGTAGCAAAATAACTGGTTTTGTAATAAGAATCAAGCGTCCACGAAGTCCGAACCACGTTTCTGCGGGTGTGAAAGGCTTCGCTGACCGCGACATTTCGTTGGGGGGATCGGTCTACATGTGTGCAATATTTGACATGGCATGGGCGTGGCCTCTAATGTGGCTGACAGCTAGGAGCTGACAAGTAGCTGACGGGCCGGCCGACAGCTGAGAGATGGCAAGCCTAGATGAACCCATCAAGCTAGTTAGCCGATCGACCTTGGAGATTTCGAACCCAACACCCGCGCCGCGCGCCGGTGCAGGGAGGCTGTCTGTCGGCCAACGACTGAAGCAAGGGTAACAAGTACACACTCCACACCCAAAATGTTTATTTCTGTCGGTTTCGGCAGCAATAGTTTTCATAATTTTTTCAGCTGGAGGAGAAAAATCTTGCTGAGTATAAAGGTTATAAGCACGGCTGGCACTGACAGTGATAAACTTAGTTTTCAACTGCAGTTGCTCGCTTACACGTGTTAAGCAGTTGCACACTTGCTTTATCAGTGTAGGTGAACATCCACACTTTGTACAGTAATTTGCGCAAAACGAAAACCGAAAAAACAGCTGACATTTTTTGGCACACTCTTTTTGCGTGCATAAATAATATGTCATGTTGCCACCGAAGTGCGTATTTTCAATTTTCGGCGCATGTGTACGTGTGTGACGACACGGTTGACGAATTTTCCGCCCGCCTCCGGTTGACTTTCTCTGCGCTCCGCTTGGCAGTGCCTAGTCAGCTGATTGCAGGGGTGACAGCTGATGTGAAAGGTGTCGGTCCTGTCCTTCCCTCCAGGGCGCGGGCGCGCGCGCGTGCTCCAGGCCGCCCCAGTGCGGGCCGCTCCAGGCCAGGCCGCGGCTCCAGCTGACGCAACGCCGGTGACGCCACGAGCACCCACACACACGGACCGCGTATGTCACACACGGGACAGTTTAGGAAGATCCGATTGTCTCCATTTGCGACGGGGCTTGAATCTAAGTCCCTCTCTTCTCGGGCTCTCTATACGTTGCGCTCACTTCGTTTCTGAAATGAAAACGTGTTGTGCGTGCTTATGATTATAGACTTCTAAGATTTTTCGTACATCACATAGACCGGTAAGAAAACCACGAACCATTCCATGTTATATATTCAATTGCAATCTCCAGTCTCGACTAGAATTGATGACAAAAGCAAGTCTTTTTTCTACGTCTCTCTACCTGTCTCTCTCGGCTTCTCTCTCACTTTTCCTGTCTCCCTGTCGCCGCCCACGCGGTCCGCACTCTCGGCCCTTGCAAGTTTGGCCGTGACTCACTTGCGTGCTAAGTAGGTTGTGTTGTGGGAGTCCGCCTGGGCCCGGTACCGACCGGCAGGACCGGTTAGAAGAAGGAGGGGGCGGGAGAGAGAGAGAGAGAGAGAGAGAGAGAGAGAGAGAGAGAGAGAGAGATGGGGGGGGGGGGCTTCCCCACGGTGGCTCCGATCAGCCCCGATCGCGGCCCGTGCTCATCGCTCTCTTCAGGCCCTTGCAAGTTCTTGCTCAATGCTTGCTGCCCAGCGCTCAGCGTATGCAACACATTTTATCATGCTCGCCTTTCTCGCTACTCATACTAACCCCTTTTGATTAATGGACTGCCCTGACAAGTTTAAAAATGATATATGGATGTGCAAATTTGGATTGT